ATATTTATAAAATGGGTAAAGCGGGAAATGTAATTATAACACGTGATTTAGAGGTTAAAGAATCTAAATATTTGTCAGATTATGAAAATTGGAAAATTGTAAATTTATTTAATTAAAATATTTTTACTAATACATTATTTAACTTCTTCTTCTGATGATGATTCTGAGACTTATGATACAGACTGGAAAAACTATCGTTTATTTTACTTTTTCATCTACTTTTAAATTTTTGGCTTTCCCTAATTTAACAATTTTATATAAATATTTATTAACCATTCCCACTACCTCATGTATTAAAGGGTCATGAGTAAAATTAAATTAATTAAAACAAGACTTTGTAGTACATGAAAGATCCATTTCTCAATAATTTGACTATTTTATCAATGGAAAAAAAACAATTAAATATTGATGTAATTATACATTATTTCGCTTTCTACCCATAATTTGTCTCAATTATGAATTTAAAAATAACATTTTTAAAGTATATATTTTTTTACTTTATATTATATATTATAGCCGGGGTGGCCTAGTGGGTTATCATGTAGGCTTGGAAACAGAAGGTCCCAGGTTCGATCCTGGTAAGGAACGTAAAAATTTTTGGATTTTTCTTCGATGACTAATGTGTAAAGACATATAATAAGATGAATTTCGGAGCTTAGAGATGATACCCCGGTCACCGACAGGCTTAGACAGCCGGGTGCTAAGGATACTTGTCCAATAAACAAAAATGAAGGACACAAATGAAAATATGAATATGAAAGCTAGGGCTTTCCCTCCAAGCGATGCGCAGGGTGTAGACCTCCATCATGCGAAAATTAAAAAAGGTCAAAGCAAAGAATACAAGGTTAGCAAGTTTGAATATTGGTACACCTAAAAATAAGACGAGAGAATCAATGTTGAACAAGAGAAAAGTTGATATAGCCTGCATACAAGAGATGAAATGGAAAGGTCAGAAGACTTTAATGATTGGAGATGGGTATAAATTGTACTATAATGGAATTGTTAATAATAGGAATGGTGTCGGCATCATCCTCAATCAAGATCTAACCTCCTCAGTAGTAGAAGTCAACAGGGTCTCTGATAGACTAATGAAGATAAAACTCTGCATTGGTCAATCAATACTACACATCCTTTCAGTATATGTTGCTCAAACGGGTTGCAAGGAAGAAGAGAAAGATGACTTTAGAGCTATCTTGATGAAGCTGTAATGGAAATCCTTAAGGATGACCTAGTCATAATAGGTGGTGACTTAAATGCGCACATGGGAAAAGCAAGAGATAGCTACAAAAGGCATCATGGTGACTTTAGATATAGAGAAAGAAATGATGAAGGCGAGCATGTACTGAAATTTGCACAAACATTCGACCTTGCCTTAACCAACACCTACTATATAAGAAAACGGATATTCATTTAATAACATATATGAAAGTGGTACAAGGAAAACCCAGATAGATTACATGCTTATCTCTCACAAAAGATTAAAAGATGTAATAGACTGCAAAGTCATCCCAGGAGAAGATATTGCCGCTCAACACAAGCTACTAGTCATGGATTTATACATCACAAATAGATCCTCTCAAAACAAGATAAAACTTAAACAATGCATCAAATGGAGTAGATTAAAATCAATGACAGATTCCTTTGCAATCAATGCAAACATTGAAACAATAGATTCCTCACAACTCAGTGAAAAAATGTGGACAGACCTTGCCAAATCGACATTAGGCTTGACAAGGGGAGGCAACAAATCATACAAAGAACTATGGTGGTGGAATGAACATGTACAAACCACTATAAAGGAGAAAAAAGCCCTACATAAAATATGGTACATATCCAAAAATCCAGATGACAAGACAAATTACAAAAAATCCAAGAGAATAGCTACAAAGGCGGTGGCTAGGGCCAAAGCTATGACATACAATGACATGTATGGAGAACTACATACCAAAGAAGGGCAAAATAAAATATACAGATTAACCAAACAGCGAGAAAAGAATTCTAGGGATATAAACGGAGCTCCGAAAGTAATCAAAAATAAAGATGGGAAATTGATAATAAAGGAAAAAGAAATAATTAATAGATGGAAAGAATATTTTCAGGAGCTTCTCAACTTTAATTCCCACATACTACATCTAGACGAACACTCCCCATGTCAAAACCTTATACAACCAATAACAAAACAAGAAATAATCACATGCCTCAAGCATATGAAAAACAACAAAGCTAGGGGTCCAGATGATATTCAAATAGAAAACCTTAAGCACTAGGAGATGATGGAATACATCTCCTCAATCTTTACAATAAAATACTGGGAAATGTGGAGATTCCTCAAAAATGGAGGCAGAGCTATCTAGTTCCTATCTTCAAAAATAAAGGGGATCCAAACAATTGTCAAAATTACAGGGGCTAAAAAACTATGGTCAAACTGTCTTAAACTCTACGAAAAAATATAAGAAAAAAAGATAAGAGACATAATCGAAATAGGAGAGACTCAGTTTGGTTTTATGTCTGGAAGATCAACAACTGATGCTATCCACGCAATTAGGCAAATGAGTGAAAAATACAAGGAAAAGAACAAAAAGCTATACATGGTCTTTCTCAATCTATAAAAGGCCTTCGATAGAATCCCAAGAAAACTTATCTGGTTGGTGCTACGCCACAAAGAGGTTCCCGAAAAATATATAAGAATAATACAGGATATGTATATGAGCCATACAACAATGGTCCGTAGCACAACTGGTACTTCAACAGGCTTTACAATAGCCGAGTTTATCAAGGGTCGGCTCTCAGCCCACTTCTCTTAGTAATAGATGTATTAGCACAGTCTATACCACAAACAGTCCCGTGGAATATGATATTTGCAGATGATATTGTGATACTTGCCGAATCCAAGGATGAAATGAAAGAAATATTAGTGAGCTGGATAAATATCCTAGAAAAGCACGGAGTAAAAGTAAATAGAGAAAAGACGGAGTATATGGTGATAGGAGGAGATGAAACAGAGAGCATTGATATAAATGAATGGCAGATATCGGCAATTGAAAGCTGCAAATATTTGGGCTCCACTATAGAAACAAACGGCACAATAGAGAAAGAGATAAAGAGTAAAATTAATCAAGGGTGTTAAAGTGGAGATCTTTATCTGGAGTGCTCTTTGACAAAAGAATCCCACACAAATTGAAGGGAAAAATTTACAGTTCCATAGTACAACCAACTATTCTATATAGTTCGGAAACATTGTCAACCAATGAATTAGACGAGAGAAGTCTACAAACTATGGAGATGAGAATGCTGAGGATGATTGCTGGGGTAACAAGAAAGGATAAGGTGCGAAGTACAAGAATACTAAGAAGTTTAAAGGTAGTGCCCATTAAGACTAAGATAAATGGTAAGCAGACTTAGGTGGTATGGGCATACAATGAGAAGGCCTATGAACTACATAGGAAATAAGGCTGAGAGTTTGGAAGTGATGGGTAAACGTAAAAGAGGAAGGCTAAAACTTTAATAGGGCCATAAAGTTAGAGCCAATATGAAGAAGTATAAATTAGATAAACGAGATAGTATGAATAACATAAAGTGGAGAGAGATATTGAAGGAGCTTACCACCAGAAAAGGTGAAAGCTAAAGAGAAATTTTTTTTAAAATATTATATAAAAGATTGATGCAATAAAAAATATTTTTGAAATTTATGGGTGTCAAAAAATAATTAATCATTTTTTCTAAGGGGGCGGGGGTGTATTTTTCAGGAGGGTATTCTGTATGTTTCCATCGCTCAGAAAGTGTATGGGCCACTGACGTTTGCCTTTTATGTAAATATATACACTAGGTAGGAATACTCAATATGAATTAAAAGGTAATAATATAAACACTCCTGTTGATGTTAGCTCTATAGTACCCTCGTACTATCGATTACACTCGTGTGATAGCATTAAAATTTAAAAGACGACTTTGTTAAAAACAACATTATTTACAGTCTCTTGTATCTCCCCATATAATAATTATAGCTCCCCGCTATCTACTTACTACTCTATACAAAGATATTGAATTTAATGGCGATTAAGTTAACCCAACAGATATGCAAATTATATCTCCCAATAACAGAAGACTTTTTTAGATGCTAATGAAGGTTTAGAAATAGCGCCGGGTGAAGATAAGACCTCTCTACCCTTATTATTCCATATTGATGCTGAAGAATTGACTTTTTAATAATCAAAATTACTTGTATCTCCCTTAAATTTTTAGGACCTGGCTCAAATTAAAATAAATCAGATCTGATCGGTTGACATAAGAAATTTAGATTTTTATTAAATTCGCGTGAAAAATTCACAATACCGTAAAAAAAGTATTAATTTTATCACCTTTCTTCCATATTGTTTGTATCTTTCCGAAATCTTTCATTTCTTTCACGATTTCACTCTTGTTTCAGGAAAGTTTTAGCATGTAACCCTGTTTTTCAAAAAATAGCCCTTTAAGCCCGTATATTGTGCTAAAAACAATTCTTTATCATATACTAATATTTATTTTCGCTATTATTACTCGGTATGATAAAATATAAAAATATTTTAAATAAAGAGAAATATTCCCCTTATCTACTAGCAATTACCACCCTTCTAAAATTTACTGAAGCGGTCGCGTCTGACCCCTACCTCTCTCGTTATAGAGGAAACCTACTTGTCACGATATAAAATTATTTTAAGTTTATTATGTGATTTTTTTTATATATCGGAACAGATCTGGATACACTTTAAAAAAAGTTACCCCTCCATTTCATTACTTCTTATCTAAAAGGAAGTTCCTTATATTAATTGGCCTAAAATTTCATTTAAAAAAATTAAGTTTTCTTATGTCAATTTTATTGTAACTGACATTCATCTTGGCCAATACAAAGCTTAGATTACGTTGTTCATTAAATATGATCTATTTAGCCCAGGGCTGAAAATAATTTGGAATGTAGTTAAACATTTTTTTAAATACTTATAATTATTATTTAAAATTTTTAGACCCAAATGGCTACCATCTCACACACCCAAAGAATTTAGAGATCTAGAATCTGAAAGTTTTCTTGATTGGAGGAGAACCATAGCCCAATTACAAGATGATCCCCAAACACAAAAAAGGAATTTGCAAAACAACGCACTTGATTTTACTGATAAGATAAATAAAATGATTATTACACCATTCGAGAAAAACTTGGAAGTTTGGAAACAGCTTTGGAGAGTTATAGAAAGATCTGACATTTTGGTCCAAATTGTAGATGCTAGAAATCCACTGTTTTACAGGAATGAGGATTTGGAATCTTATGTCAAGGAAAGTCATCCGAGGCTTTATAATAAAATCATCAAAAATAAGACGCACCTTACTAAGCCTCACAAAATCACCCGTAAACCGATGAAAAATACCTCCAAGCATTCTAATTTAGATCAAGATACTACTGAAACAACACAGCCATTGAAATCTTCTAATGAAAAAATTGATCCATCCCTAGATGATGATAATTTAAGTGAAATAATTGAAGATGATGACTCTTCAGAAGGAACTTGGGAAGATGAATCTGATACCGAAAGTTATAGCGACGCGCCTGATTCCGATTCTTTAGACGATTCGCATCAATCTGACCACCAACAGCATTTACCCGACACTTCCCGGTGTGACAATACCGATGACGTTGCCATGAGCGATTTAAAAAGCCACCAATCACTGCAAAAGTCGCACGAAGTGACAAATTCACTAGATATTAATGAATATAGCAATATGATACCTTACAAACTCAACCTTTTATTGCTTAACAAATCCGATTTTCTATCCACTGAACAACGTTCTTCGTGGGCCACTTACCTAACTCGTTATATCGATATTATCCACGACGACGGAACGGATATAGTCAGAAATGAAAGTGGCTTTAAGATGGTCGATAAGGGAATTTTAAATAGTAGCTATAGCCTAAGAACGCAGTTTTCGGAGGCGGTTTGGAAGAGTGGTCAGACCTTGGTAATGTTTTTCTCCGCTAAATCTATTGAGGATGAAGCGAGTAACATAAAATTTTTAGAGATGTTTTTTTAAGATATGAATTTTATAAATAATAGCAATATATAATTTTAATTTATTTTAAATTAATTTTTTGGTTTTCAATAAATGTTTTTAATGATTGACATACAATATAACCCTACTCTTATGCAACGTTTCTATGATAACGCTAATTTAATATGCTAAAACTGATATACATTATAAGTCATACGATTTCATATAGAGATTTATATAAATCACATGATTGTAACTGTCTTTTTCCTAGTTTTTTTTTTGTATAGCTCAGAATAATTTTTACCTAAACAAATATACCCTTATATTTTATTAAATTTAATCTTTATACTTCCTCCCCGACACCCTTAATGATAAAAGATGATGTATTTTCGCCACGTGAGTTCTTGGAATTAATCGCTGTCATAAAAATATACCGGGACTATATTTTACAAACCATTACAAGGGAAAATGAATTCTTATCCGAGAAAACCAACGTGTTGGAATCGATGAATGAAAAACCACGGAAAGCCGAAAAAAGAGTTATAAATGTTGGTTTCGTGGGGTATCCTAATGTTGGTAAAAGTTCAACCATCAATGCCCTGTTAGGCCTTAAGAAGGTCGCCGTTTCCGCGACGCCAGGTAATTGAAAAAAAATCTTTGAATGATATTTAAGAATGACCGTAATTACTCTCTTTTTACGGCCTTAAATTTGATTTGGTTTTTTTAAAAAAATTTTTATTCATTTTTTTTTATTTTTGAACGTGAATTTTTTATCTTAATTATTCGATCATTTTTTTAAAACTTTTTACCTTCAAGGAAAAACCAAACATTTTCAAACTCATTTTTTACTCGATTCTCACGTTTGTCTGTGCGACTGTCCTGGATTAGTTATGCCAAGTTTTGTTGGAAGTAAAGCCGAACTAATCGTTAACGGAGTGTTACCAATAGATAATATAACGGATCCTCTGGGACCTACATCTTTAGTAGCTAGAAAAGTCGGAATAGATGGGTTCCATAACTTATATGGTAATAAAAAAAATATTTATCCCATAATAATTTGCCAATATAAAAAAAATTAAATGATTCGTAATTAAATGGTCTTCTATGTATGTAAACATACCTTATGGAAGTTAGAAAATACTATTAAAACAATCTGCCCGGTCTTTTAATCTCAGTATTAAGCCCGTTTTAATTTATTATCAGTCTCCTGTCCGCTCTTTGCCATTCGCTGTTTATATTCAGAGAAAAGGGTTTTTTGTTAATTATTAACGAGATGTTCCATTATATTACATCAGGTAAATCTAATGGTTCTGGATTGATGACTGACCATTCATTTATTAAAGGTACGCAAACATTGAAATCAGCTGTAATCAATGTCATTGGCTCTAGTAAACGCCATTGAAAGGCATGTAGTTTAAATACCTTTCACATTTTCGAAATGTCATTGGCGGACTTCAACGTATATACACTTTTTAATGGATTTTAAGGAATAAATTATCAATCTACGTTTGTATTAATTTCGTTGGTTTGAATAGACAATTATATTATTTTTTTAATTATTTTATTGCATATATGCTAAGCACAACGACCAAAAGGTTTTAATAATACTAGTTAACTATAATAACATCGCAGTGGCTATAGTCGCGCTCTGCTCATTGCACACATACATTGCAACCGCTCGATAGAAGAGTATTTTGGGCCCTTAAAAAAATACAACACTTTTTTAGATGCATGGATGTGAATACATTTGAATTTTACTATATATGATATCCTAGGGATTGTAAAAAAAAATGCATAATGAATCCTTTTTGCTGCATATATCCAGAAAATTTAATTCTTTAGGCGTCTATCCCAAAATCCCTTAATTTTTAATGATCAAAATTCTACCCCTTATTTTAATAATAATAAAATAAAGGTATATTTATTCAAATGAAATAAATTCAATAAATGTTAAAATAATCGTAGTGCCACCTACTCCCAGATCTACTGATATTCTGAATCCTGAATTGCAATCATTGATTGAGATGGAGTTTAACTCTGAACCTTATAATCCTATATCTCAAAATTTATGTTTGAAAAAACTCTTTTATTTATCTATTTTTCTGATTATTCGAATAAAATTATTTTTATCGAATTTTATGATGTATTAATTTATAAATGAATTTAAATGTATCAATTTATTATTATGAATATAATTGTGCCACTACCAATCTATAAATGAAATATTGTCGATTTAGAAAAATTATAAAAAATAACGTTTTATAAATTACATTTTAAGTTTTGATCGTTCTGTCATGTGATTTATATTTGTGGGTCTGGGTTCGGCTTAAGATCGATAAGACCGGATTGACTTTCGCTACTTAACTTTATAATTTAATTATATTGGATTTTTCTTGAAGTTTTGAAACCTATATAGGTATATAATATACTATCTAATTTAATGATTTTTTAATCAAACTTTTAATAATATAAATAGGATTAGCCCTCGATGAAACAATATTCGATAAATCTTCAAGTAACGCCTCTTTATCACAAGCAATTTTAACTGCTCATAGCAAATCTAGAGGCTTTTCCACAATGTTAGGCGAACCCGATTTCCATAAATCCTGTAGGATCATATTGAAAGATTATATCAATGGTAATTTATATTTTATTTGTATACATTTTTATGCAAATTAGAAATCAAATTTAACAAATAAAAGTACATGCGTTATTTGAGTAATTTAAATATAAATACCTACGACATTGTTGGAGAGAGAAATGACATTTTATATACCTAATGTTGCTATACAAACATAAAAAGGAAGATTGATCTACTGCGAACCACCACCTGATTGTGATGCTCAGGAATTTAAGCGTTGTAACATCAAGTTAGCCAAGATTCATCATTCAAATATCGGTGTCATAACGATTGATCATAAAGACGAGGTTTTGTATTTATTATTTTTCAAACAGGAAATTTCATATTTTTATCTATGATTAAATTTATTATAATTATAAAAAGACAATAAAAATAGTAATTTATTTTTATGAATTTTTTTAGGCTTGTCGAGGATAAAATACCGATACCCGGAGTATCGGCGTTACCTGATTTATTTGGGGGACATGAGATTCAAATATTTAAATTAAATGATAATTATATCAATGTTTTTATAATATTGCAAAACTTTTTTTAAGCCATCTGAATGATAAGTACTAATGATATCATTGATAAATTCTGGCTTTCACGGGATTTGTCGACGTGTTAGACGATGACCATACCAGTGCATTCGAACACATATTATAAGATAGCAAGCCAAAAATTGAGCGAAAATATCATTTCCAACTATTTGGATATTTTGAAATTTTACACATTAAAATATTTTTCGTCTGCTTATTAGTTATTTATCAAATAATTTTCATATTTTATTAAAGTAATAGGTGCTTATATAATATATTTGAATTCTATATTTTCAAATGCATGGGCGCTCTGATATGGCTTTAGCCTAATTATATGCTGATTTTATTGAAAGGATGCCTTTTTTACAAGACCTTTGTGTTTTATATTTTACCCGTCAAAATAAAATTGTTTGTTTTTTAAGTTTAAGAAATAGAATAGCTTAATAATCGTAAAAATATTCTTGTTTTTTTACAAAAGCATAAACCTTTCGCATTAATTTCCGCCGAAAAATCGTTGGATACACAATTTTTTGCACCATCAAAAATCTCGAATAGAACTCTCGGCAAAAATAGTGTCAATCCCGATTCATTGAATGTGGGGGCGATTGATGGCTTATCTCTCAAAGATATAAATCCCAGCAAAAAACATTTCAACAAGAATAAACACGAAAAAATGAGGAGAATATACGATAGGGGCCAAAATAAATAAACTACAAATTATTTATGGCAATTCCATTCCCTCACCCCTGATTTATTTATTAAATTAATGATGAGTTTGTATTATATAACAAATAAAGTCCTGATACGGTTTTTTTATTTGATAAATTTGAATCCTATTATGCCTAAATTCTTTGGGATGTGCTACTAACATCATAATTACTATAGAGCAATTTTTATTCGCTTTTTTGATTTAATCTTTTAAATCAAATTAAAACGTTAAGATATCACATTATTTTCAAACAAAGAATTTTGAGTTTGACCAATTTAGATGTAACATACAAGTTTTCATGAATATATTTATAAACGTATAATAAAGTTTTATTTTCAAAATTTTAGGTTTACTTTTTTAGCTGTGTAAAACTATTATTTAAGAAGAAAAAAATATATAGTCCAATAGGAATTTGGATAAATCATACGGCTATAACGACTTTTCCTATATTTTACCCAAGGATTCGAACAGGGTTGCCAGGTCAAAATTTTCAAATTACGGGAGAAATTTGGTATTATGCAGGAGAAATATGAAAATTACAGTAGAAATATAAAAATTGCTAAAAAAAAAAATTTGCGGGCCGAAGGCCCGTAAAGTGCTGGTGCAACGTATTATTTTTACTCTGTATTAAAATTACTCATTTATAGTGATATTGACATTTACGATTGACTTGTAAAAATTAAATATAATAAATTTAGTGATATTGACATTTTTGACTGACTTGTAAAAATTAAATATAATAAATTTAGTGATATTGACATTTTTAACTGACATGTTTTACTCCTTATAAAAATTACTCATTTAGTTAAGGAAATTGAGATTTTTGATTGACATATTTTACTCCTTGTAACAATTACTCACTTATTTAATGATATTGACATTTTAAATGACATGTCTTACTCCTTATAAAAATTACTCAATTTAGTTAAGGAAATTGACATTTTTGACTACTTGTAAAGATTAAATATAGTGATATTAACATCATTATAAAAATTACTCACTTATTTGACATTTATGACAATTTTTTATTCTCCTTGCAAAATTTATTTATTTATAACTTGAAAAAGGTCAAAACTTATTAAAAAAATATGATATAATTAAGATACACGATATAAATAAGATACGCTATATAATTAAGATACGCGATATAATTAAGATATATGATGTAAATAAGATACACAATATAGTTAAGATATATGCTGTAAATAAGATACGCGATATGAATACATATATATGATGTGAATAAAATACGCGATATAAATAAGATTAAATAAAATTTATTATGCGGTCAAAATGCTCACGATAATTTCTTAAATATATATTTACTTTAAATTTTTTGATATTATGTAATATTTATATTGGGGTATAATAAGCCCATTTATAAATAGTATGAATAATAATATTTGTCTGAAGCATAGTTGCCATAGCAACTATCTCCACCTCTGTTCCATAAGTTGCATTTAGGGCCATGCCCGTTCTCTCCAAATATACATCAACGGGTTCTCCCAAAAACCCCTCCATCTGTTCAACAATATCCTTGATTCTCATAAAGAGACAGCATTGCTGTCTCAAAAAATTATAATGGCATTCGTCATCACAAACTTCTTTCCTAATCATCTATAAAAATGATTAACAATAATTTATTGTAAATAAAAATACCTGAAGAGACAATTTTCGTCATCAATAATCCGTTTGGTAGAAAAATCATTTCCAATCACACCCTTATCATATTTTGGATATCTTTTCTTGATCACAAAATGAAAGCGTTCAGAATGATATATTTTCCCATTTCTGTTGGTGGGAAGAAAAAGATTTGCATCCTCTTTCTTAGAAATTACAGTCAATTTCACCATCTAAAAAATATGTATTAATCTACTAATTATGCAAATTTTTACCTTTCTTATTTTGCATGCTCACTTCGCAATCTACAATCTTCAAATTGTGAGGCGAGGCAACTATTATATTAAAAAATTAATTTGATCAATTCTTAAAAATATTACTATAAGGTCGATGCTCATCAGTCTTTAGCATTTTCAATGCTTCACTGATTGTTTTAACTCCATCATCTAAAAATATGTATATTAAATATTTTTTTATTATACCTTTTTTGTTTTGACAATTATAATCCTCTCCAACTAGCGTATTTAGTAATTTCAAAACTAGACATTTTAAAAAAGATTTAATATTAAATATGAAAATATTACCCTTCATATGATTTTCTTCCGAATTAAGCTTTACATTTTTAATTGCTGGTTCTTGAAAATATCTAAAATAAGGAATATTATTTAATAATTAAGTCAACTGTATACCTTTAATTAGTGTTGTTAAACGGCTCGATTTGAGCCGATTTTAAAAAACGGCTAACTAAATATTTTAGCCAGAAAAATATTGTCTAAGCCTCAAGATTTCGTTTATAGATGTTATAAACCTTTGTGCCTCCTATGAACAAAATCTTAAGGCTTGCATAATATTTTTCCTGATAAAAGATTGAGTTAACCGTTTTTAAAAATCGGCTCAAAATGAGCCATTTAACAACACTACCTTTAATGGTAGAAGAATGAAACTTTTTACTTGGTAACCTGGGAACTGTTTAAAAGTTATTTAATAAATTTTTAAAAGATTGAACCTTTTTTCTGTCCTGCTTTAATTGTGTCATCTTGATAAATATAAAATAAATTTATTTATAAACTTTATCTTTTCTTGTAACATAATGTTTTATGTTACAAATATTTGCTAGGGTTTATATCTGTTTCCCACAGGCACTTATTGGCTCTACATTGCCTAAATATTATAAATATTTTGTTGTTAAAAATCATAATTTATACTTTTGTCAATCCCAACTATTGTAAAAGGACCCAGCCAAGGCCATGTCATTTTTCCACCCTTCCTATCAGCTCGACGGCTGTTCCAGATAAGCACCTTATCATTGATCTTATAGGGAGTATTTTTCCCAGTATTTCTGGTTCTGTAATCCCTCTGTTGGAGCTAAGCTAAATTAATATTGCCTATGGCAATATTATGTATGTCTTGCATCTTGCAAACAAAACTTTGAAAATGTTTTCACAATGTTGGTAGAATCTTTTCCCCATAAAATTTAACGACTCTAATATAAATGAATACTATACTTGTAGAACAAAAATGAGCAAGGCTATCATCAATGTTTTAGGACCTAAATCCAGGAGGTCAATTCTTGACGATTTGAAAGATGGGCATCCATATTCAATTCTAACAGATGCATCTAATAAGGGAAATATTAAAACATTTCCCTTGATCCTTCGCTATTCCAACAAAAATAAGAACATTTCCATAAAACTGTTAAATTTTTTCCTCGGATAGTGAAAAATCCAACGATGTAGCTAGCCACATAATGGTAAATATAGCTGATTCAGGGTTATCAATGATTTGCATGTCAGCTTTCTGATCTGATAATGCCTCAGTGAATTTGTTAAAAACAGAGTGTATTTACAGAATTAAGTCAGTACAATGTTGGTTGCGATATGTTCCTAATACCCGCCATCGATTGAATTTTAAAATTTTATAAACCTTTAAAAAATATTTCTTAAATAAAGATTATAAAAGCTGTCCTAACATTTTGAAAATAATTTTCAATAATGAATGGCAGTGGTATATTTAGGAATGATTTCACATGTAGGAAATCTACTACATGCTGTTAATGTGTAGTTGCTATCAGAAGAATCTTAATAAAGATTAACAAAATTATGCTGAATTGGTGTTCATCTTTACCGTTAATAATTGACAGTAAATTTTATATCGCCATTGCTAAAACTTAATTATATTTTATATTTAAAAAATAAACTAAATGTTTACCGTGTTATTGAGATATTTATAAAATTCTTGGCATGACATTATATATTAGCTCGGCCTCTAATGTTAAAGCAATCATTTCTCTCCTTTTCCCAGGCAGTCCTCATCAGGCTAAAAATGCGCTCGGATGAGGCATTAGAATGAGGTAAGGAGAAGACATACTCGCATATTTTTTTCCAAGCCTGGGGATTTATCGTTATTACGAAAATATTCTACCTATTTCTCCTCTGCTTTTAGACCATATAACTTTAAGTATTTAGGCGAATCATAAAAAATAGAGAGAATTACAATCTCCTCAAACAAGATATCAATGTCTTTCGGTATTTTTAATATATTTATTAAATTATAAAAACCATCAATTGATGGTTTCTGTTCCAAGGTCATAATATTTATATATTAAAATCAAATTTTGAATGTAAATATTCTAAAATTGTCTTAATAAAAATATATGCTTCATTTAAAAATGTATTAATTAGAGTATTATTTGAACATTTTAATATAATATTTTTAGCAATAGCGCCATAAAATTTATTATCAATTGAACAGAGCTGTAGCATGATTTTGTGAATCTTTTTTAATAAATAATATTCTGATTGCAAAGGAATATTAATTGCATGAAGTAGATTTCCTAACTGTGAAACGAATCCCAAATATGCTTCTGCCATTTCATACTCGAAAAAATTTTTCAAAATTTTAGGACAGCTTTTAAAATCTCTATTTAAAGAAGTATTTTTTATAAGGTTTGTAAAATTTTAAAATTCTATCGATGTCAGGTATTAATGACAACCACCTGATAGGTATATATCGCAATAACTCACCATTCCAAGTCAGACCACTTCATC